CTCTTCTCTCCTTCTCCGTCTTTCTCTATATAATCTCTCTTTCTCTCTATATACCCCCATCTCTCTCTCTTTTTTTCTCTCTCTCTCTTCCCTCCCTCCCCCACCTCACCCAACACCCTATCTCGATGGAAGGAGTATGGGCGGTGCCCAAAGATGTGAAAAAAGATAGCAATCACCAACACCGGACGACGCAGTGATAGTGTCTTAGTGAACGTCAAAGGGGTCCACTATCCCCCATTAGCGTGATTGATACAGGCAAACAAGAAGAAATCAGATTTAAAAAGTCAATACGTGGGACTACGTCAGACGTTCATTACCGATTCTCTTTAATGTCCTCAAGCTTAATGGGTTAATTTGATGTCGGCTACCGTAAATAATACATCTTAGACTTGACTTGATGGAGTACGGGACGAAAGTGAAATGTAATACCTAGAGAGACTCGAAACAACAGGAAGAATGTCCGCCAGACGAGTTAAGCGAATGAGATCCGAAGTAAAGAATGGAATATTCTTTTTAATTAACCTTTCCTCAGTACTTTTTGATTTGCTTTGTTTTGATTTGTTTTGTGTATTTTTGTTTTGTTTTGTTTTTTCTGATCCGTTGGTTTGTCTTCATAACAATAATATAATATATTACATTTATAAAGCGCTCAATATTACAAGCGCTTAATAAAAATACAGAGTAATGTTGAACTATAAGTTACAACAATCATGATACATAGTTTTAATAACAATTTCCTCTTAGAAATTATATAATAATAATAACAATAGTAGTAAGAATAATTAATCTTTATTTTGTGCTTTATAATTTAACAAACGAAATAATTATGATGATATTACATATTTAAAATATTGAACATATTAAACATTACATAATAATGAATTTGGGATCAAGAAACAATAAAGATGAATATAAGCATGACTTTTCATCGATTCATTTATTACATCACGAAAACAAAATGATGAATAATTCGCGTCCGAGGAAGATGTCTGAACTCTAGACATTTAAACTATTACAGGTAAATTTTCCTTTTGGATGTGATTAAAGAACTTTGAAATCTTACATGACGAATAATTGATTTTGGAGTTAACACAATCCTTATTCAAATCTTGCTCCAATTGCATGCGCGATTGTTAGGTTTTTCATGAATATTTTATTGGCTTTATTTCAGAAAATACGCCTTGGAAAGACATTGCGGTAAATAACATGTAAAACAAATGCTTATGAAGTTTGTTTTGTAGTTTACAAAGGAAACGATCATTTAATATATGGTACATAATATACTTGAGTCAATAAGTTATTTTCACCCAATTACGAGGTCTATTTTATTAATCCATTATGAAATTTTCAAAACAGGCGTACGATTTGAAGAGCTTTATACGGCTAAACGACAACTTTATTGGCAAACAAAAAAATGCGTTGAAACGAAACACGACCAGTTAACACCCACTCATAAGAAAGTTAATGGTGCCCAACTCATCATTGTTTTAATCATGATAAATGAAATTGACACAGTTTCCTGTATGTGACATTCCGATTGGAACGTCACGCTAAAACCTCATGGTTTACTCATAATTATTCATGGTCATGAATGATTCAGCTATCTCCTATCGCCATCTTTCATTACACGAGTCCAAAGAGTTATAAAAGAGGATACTGGGTTGGTGGGGAGGGGGGGGGGGGCAGGCACGTAGCCAGAGTTTGATGTTTGGGGGGGGGGGGGGCACATAGTTACATTTAATCGATCGAGGTCCAAAAAAGGGGTCTAAAAAAGTTCAACCGATCCTGGATTTTTTTTTTTTTGGGGGGGGGGGGGGGGAGGGGGTGCCCCCCCGTGGTTACGTGCCTGGGGTGGGGATTGGGGGGGGGGGTTGTGTGTTTTAATAAAGGAAAAGTCAAATCATCAATTCTGTATAACAATGACACATGCCGAAACTTCTTGTCTGGGTCTTATTGTTTCAGATTGAAGTTAGGGCTCTAACCGGCATATCAATACAGAAAATAATGGCCAAAATGCGTTTTCAACTTCGAAAGCTTTTAAAACTATCGTACAACATATTAACTAAATAATGACCTACATAATTTTAAAGCTTAGATTTTACTCTTTACTCTCATGTAATATGTTGAGAAATGAATTTTTTATTTTGTTATTTAAAGAGTATTCATTTTTTCTTCTGATAAAGCAATGTTCGTTCTAGTTTTGGGTGATGAAATAACCGTGTAGTGCGGTGTTATTTTTCTAGTATGTAAAAGCGGTATACTTTGTCAAATACACTGTGAAAATATGAATAATTAATTATGTTTTATATAACTATTTTCGTATATTATGATAAAAAGCTTTGTCATCATTATTGTTCAGTTTGTATAAGCTATATGGAAAATGCTTTGCTTCTATGTTATGTACGAAAAATAGTAATTTTAAGAAATGAGGAATATCAACATTCATAATATTAATAATAAATAATTGAATAAACGCGAAAAATATTTTGTTAGTTTAATGCGTCGATAAAAAGAGTATGGGAAGGATGAAGACTTGCTTACTTCGAGTTAGCAAAATGGATGAATTTGCCATTTTTATATGACAAACACCTATTCATTATTGATACTAATGCACGTAGGCCCATTACGAACGATATCGTCACTAACTGCGAGAAAGAGAAATGGAGAGAGAGAGAAAGAGAGAGAAAGAGAGAGAGAGAGAGAGAGAGATGGGGGAGGGGGGGGGGGGGCTTTCGTGGACCGGGGGTGTTGATATAGAATAGAGAGATGGGAAGATAGAAAGACAGATATAAATTGAGAGAGGTAGATTGGGAAAGGAAAAGGGAAGAGGGGAGAAAAAGGTGGGAGGCTGGAGAGATAAGGGGATAAAGAGGGGGAACAAAGGAGAAGGGGGGGGGGGGGGGGGGTTGCTGGACTATGCTGAATAGAAGGGACCGGTTTCCGGCCAAGTTTGCAGAACAACATAATTTACTTGAATGACTCGCTAAAAATGTAACCCAGTTAATATGAGAGGTAAAAGGCGACAAAAATGGAAGTCAAAGAACTAGGTTAAACTATGATGCAAATTTACACTGCAGTCCAACATAACAATTTGACTAGCATCGCTCTAATTCCCAAAGTAATTTTCGTGAGAAATATTTCACCCACAGTTTGTTCTTTTATTATAATTGCTTCCCGTACCGTATAAAGTCAATCGGTTCGTTACCTTTTGATGTACGGTTATCCAATGACCGATGCTCGGTCATGTTAACTAGTTCACCCGGTTAAAATGTATAGTGGGTTTGTCTATTGTACCTACGCGTCTAACTTTGTATAATGGGCGTTTGGTCTCAAATACATTCCAATGGGACATAAATATCAGACCAAATATGCAAGATTCAAAATGATAGCAGCTCTAAAATATGCTTCATCATCCTGATGATCTCAATCATGATCATAATCATGATCATAATCATCATTATTATCATCATAATCACTATCATACCAGCATCATCATTACCATTATCATCATCATCATCGTCATCATCATCATCATCATCATCATTATCACTAACATGTCCAATGATAATTAGTCATACCCAAACTGAATATTAGACCGTTATGGGTACAGACATAATGAAGCAAGAAAAGTTGGATACTATAGCAGCTCATTAGTTTTTCATTACCATTTTCGTCATCATAATCATCATTACTACCACCATCACCACCATTATCATCATCACCAATATCGTCATTATCATCATCATCATCATCATCATCATTATCATAATCATTATCATCACCACCACCACCACAATCACCACAATTATCGTCATCATCATCATCATCCTCAATCCTCATCATCATCATTATCATCAGACAAAATGGCAGTATAACATTGCAAATACATATGACAACATATCTATAAAAGTAAACAAACAAATAGATATCAGGCAGGGTTTCAAAGAAAATGTTAGAAATAAAGTTTATTATTTACAGAGTGGTATAATCATAATGAATATCCATGTAAATATTCACATACCGTACATTCTACATCTTTATGTCTATGGCTAAGGAATTGGTCATCACCTCAATAAAATGTTAATGGTACCTTTAATGAATACTGGGTCCAACTCTTGTAATAATATCAGTGATGACCTAAAATTGCAACAGAACCCATATTAAAGGTAAAGACCAGTATTGGAAACGCCTCAATATCAAAAAATGAAATGGAAGTTCTTATTACCAATCATGTGAAAGAATATGTTTTGAATTTTACATGACGATAAAAATTTTGACAGGAAACCGCCTACTAATTGATATATTTGGTAAATTAGTATATCTATATACTGTTGAGAGATACAAATGCACGTGTGTGTAGTCCCATATACATCTTTCTGTGTACAGTGCTTCTAACTTTATGAAGACTTGGCCAAATTTCTTTTAATTTTGATGATTCCAGAACCTTGCAGTACATCTATGCTAGATGATCAACCTTTTCAGATCGATTTCACAACGTTTCTTTCACTATGCAATTGCATGACCATAACTCGTCTTTAGCTTTAACAATATACATGAAGATGACATTCAATTAAAAATCATATTGGCAGTTGTGCTATTAAATAATTTTCTCGATTCCCAACACTGGTAAGTCTCTAAACCTGTCTGCACTAGTTTGGCCAGGAGGGATGGACCTCCCTGCCTGGTCACTGACAGGTGACCCTCATCAACTCAGCTCTCAATTAACATAAGAAAAAGGGGATCATTGGGCACCAACCAATGACGTAATAATCTTGTCTGATCTCATTAGCCTTTTGTTGGACAGATCATCTTTCTGAAAGAAATTTTTCAACAAATAATTTTCACTTATTTTGAGATCTCCTGCATTGTTATGATATTGTAATGTGATCAAATTTAATGCACATATTATTTGTTGCTAGGTAGGACAAACATTATGGCTTGTCATACCTTACAACACAGAATGTATGCAATTTGCATTCTGACTATTGATGTTTAATTATTCATAACAAGCGAATGAATTAATTTGTAACGAGGCACTCACCAACGATCTGTGCAATAAATCTGATGACATTACGAATATGGCCTAATGATCAAGATGAGTAGCATTCCCATTTCAGTGGGGTTATCATCTTAGTCACTGTTTACTGTTAATGCCAATTGGCATAAGTAGCAAAGAGTACTTTTTAAAGCAGTTTAAATTCTCATGTGAACACGACACATTACAATTTGTCTTCATCCATGACCATCTCCTTCTTGTGTATTGCAGGTGAGTTGAGAGAATGCTTCCTCCCCCGTTAGGATGTCTAGCACCTTAATGGCTTGGCCCAGTTTGTATGTGATGATGCAGTCATTGCGGGGCATTCCATTACTCTGGGAGGTGAGCTGGTAGATGTTTTCTTGGCGGTCAACACCTACAAGTAAAAGAAAGAAAAGAAAGAGAAAATGGGATGATGCTAGCAAAACAAAACAAAATATTATGTTAGATATTGGATTTGACTTTCTGTAGAATGTGGGACTTTCAGAACCTCCAAGATGTTTTAAGAAGAATAGCATACAGTGCAACCTGCATATAAAGACTGCTCAATGGAAACATGAAATGTCATCCTTATCAACAAATGGTCTTTAAAGGCAGGTTCCTTTAGTATAGGTTTCAATGAAGGAAACACAATATGTGATCTTTCTATACAGGTGGTTGCTACTCGTTAAAGCAGGTTTGACTGTATATGAATACTAATCTAACTGCACAAGCATAAATGTGGGTAAGAATGAATTGTTGGGAGGTAAAATAATGTTCTGGGTGTTCAATTTTCAAGTTATCAACACCAATTATTATCAATATTATTAAAGGTGTTGTGGTCTAGTGGATATGTAACCGGACTGCAGATCACACATGGTTCACGTCCCGCCACGGCACTAATGTCCTTTAGCAAGACATTAATCTACATTTGCTACTCTCCACACAGGTCTAGTAAATGGGTACCTGGTAGGTGTTTATTCCTTGAATGTTCTAAGGCAGCTGGGCTAAATCAAGGGTAACAATACAACTCTGCGGGCGCCTTGAGCATACCTTGAGATCATGGGCTGGATACGTGCGCAATATAATTGTAGTTACCATTACCGGTAATATTAGAATTATTAAGATATTATTGTCATTATAATAACAATTATTATAATATGTGCCTTGCTGATCAAGAGCACAAACACACATTTTTGACTTTTTTAATGTTTGCAATGAAAGGATATAAAGAAATAATGTAGAGAAGGTTATACAATATTGTTGACAATATTTATTCAGTTTCTTTTCATTTTACAATGATATGTGTGGGACACATTTTGCATAAATATGTCATCAAATGCTTGGCTGTTGATTTGCAAGCTGTATGAATTTCTCTTCGAAGTGGATACATTGTTGAATTATTCACAAATGAATCAACTACAGCTCTTTAAAATTATGGTTATTGTACAATATGATTAGACATGATTTGCTATGTACGTAATCTAAAATCAATCCACAAAAAAGCAACATATGTCATTTAAAAAGCAATATGGTGAACATGAGAATATACCACCAAATATGTTTTTCTAAAGAAGAGCTATATAATAGACTAATAGTACCTATTGCTGCTTGACAGATGTCATAAAATTCACAATGCTATTTCAATTCAATTCAATTCAATTCAATTCAATTAATTTATTTTTCCTCTTTCAATTTTTCATATTTACAATGATGGTACATTTTTACATATTCACATAGATCAATTTGCACAATAAAATACATTAAAAAAAAAAAAAAAAATTTAAAAGTGAAAAGGAAGGATGCCGAAGCAGAGCTTGTAGGGTGTAGGTCCCCCTGTAAAAGTAATTATTATGAATTATTATCTTTATGAGAAAGAAAAAAAAACTAACAATAACTGATTCAGTAATACAAAATTCATTTTTAAATGCAAAACAATGATAAATATATACATAAAAAGATATGCATCAAAGTTACTCAAACATCAAAGTTGCATAAAGTCACACTACAAATTATATTTGATTGGGGAATGCAATAGCCTACCGTAGTCACTATTCAGAAAAAAGCTTTTAAGTCTCCTTTTGAAAATTTATTAAAGATCTTACGGTTTGAATGCCATGACGCATATCCATCCATGTCTGGCTTTCATATTTTATTTTGAAGGCTTTCACGCATTATATTTTACCAGTTTTTAAATGATCTGTTGATCCAGTTTTATCATAACAATTTGTGAGTATTGATGATATAAGGGGGCACTCAAAAGGGGAAAGGGAAATCTAGAATAGATATCCACCTCACCTTTTGTGTTAAAGCCTGTTTGCTTTAATACTAATACTTTAATACTTCAATACCTACAAATATGTGGGGCGTTAATGGGAATTTCACAGATCACATGAACATACACAATGCTCACAAAAGAATCTTTTCATATTTGTGAATCTTTACAAATATTTTCTTTTCTCAGGAATTCCGATGACCTTGAATTTTTGGTGTCACATAAAATACAAACATGTTTACTTGTCTAGACTTTAGACCCCGTTCTCACTCACTTTGAAAGTGGTCTTAGTTAGACCGCTCCAGAGGAACGGGTCTTGAGGAACGGTTTGCGAGCGTTCACACTCCGAGCAGATTTTTATGGCTCAAACCGCTCCACGAGTCAAAGTGGTCTTGTGCTATGGCAGCTCAGGTCAGCAGGTCAATTTTTTCGCGCGCGGAATACAAACCGTATGTAGGATGGTACATGTTTCGCACCGAAGGTCACTAGCTCACTTCCGTTTAAAGTACGCTTTCCGTTCACATTGCACGTTAGAGCGCTCCAAACCGCTCTTATTAAGACCCGCTCCTCAAGACCACCTCGGAAGGTGGTCTTCTGGAGCGGTCCAGAAGTCCACTTCCTGGACCACTTTGACCGTTCTCACTCACCTAAGAACCGCTCCTGAGGAACGGGTCTTCGTTAGAGCGCTCCAGAGCGCTCCAACGAAGTGAGTGAGAACGGGGTCTTAGTAGCCTTAAACCAAAATATATTCCAAAGCAAAAATTCAAGTATTTTAGACTTTCCATAAATTCCACATCAAGAACATGATATCTCCTTGATAATACAAAATATAAACGATTTGAATCATCATTTTTTGCCTTTTAACATAACTATCACAAAATATTTTCAAAGATGCTTACGGATTTCCACATTTGTTAAGTCCAACTTAGAGATAAGTTCAACTTAGGATCTTTGTGAAACATCCCCCTGGACTTTTTTTTAATGGCTCAGCTGGTCAGTTTGAAGCCTTTGTAGTATAAACATTTCACTTTCGCACAGTGTATATCAAATTAAATGATATCATTTTTGTTAATGTTTGTTTGTTTGTTTGTTTTGTTTTATTTCCACTTTTTCATATCAATACAAAGAAACATACAAATAAATATAAATGAATAACATGTAAGTTTGACAAAATTTGTTTCTAGTTAAAATAAAAGTTTCATACAAAAGGAAAAAGCAGGAGACCACATGTCGTAAGCGTAAATGCTTGAGCATGACCGTGGCCTCTGCCGAGTTAACAAAATAAAAGAACAACCCATGCAACTGCATTGTATTCAATGTTAAATAAGATATAATTGAAGTGATTAAAAGTGAGCATGGCTGAATTAATTTTGAGCGAAAATAACAAAACAAATTTAGTGAAATATTTCGTGTTGAGAAGTGCATTTGTGCAAGGTGCAAAAATTTAGCTTGGTGGAATAAAAAGAGACTAATACCTTGATATTAATTGTGTGTTGGTTTCAGTAATGGGTGATAATATTAAATGTATTCAGGGTCCATTTCTGTTGACAAACAAAGACAGAACAATTCAAGACATAACAAATTAGATAATTTTTAAATTTCTATGTAAGATCTAGTAAACTATACTGAGTTAACAAATATGCTTTCAAATAAGCTTTAAAAGAATACAGGGAGGTCCTAGTTTTAATATGGTTTGGTAAGTTATTCCAAATATCTGGTCCATGGTGTCTAATTGATCGTAGGGCTAAACTAAGTTTGGGATTATTAAGATGGTAATCATGAGCATGTCGAGTTAAATATGAGTGTACGTTTACATTTAATAAATAAAAGTTTAAAAAAGATGCTGGAAGAGTTTTGGAAGTGTACTTATACATAAAAATGGCAGTTTGAAGCGTATGTATATCATAAACCTTTAATGTTTTTAATTGACTAAATAACGGGTTCGAATTTGCAAGATAGTTAGAGTGTGTACAAATACGAATTGCTCTCTTTTGCAAAAGAAATATTGAGTTTATTTTAGTTTTACTACAGTTTGCCCATATAATATTACAATATGTTATATACGGTAAAATGTTCTAACCACTATCAAGTGATAGAAACATAAGAAAAATTCATTCAAAAGTGATTTGAAAACATTCTATTTAGCACTTTGTGAGATCTCACTATTATGAACCCAGTACACCATTTCAACTCCCTCTGTAAAGTGCATAGAGAGACATGCAAGTATGCTTATGTGTTAAGTGCTATACAATAACAATTAATTACCACTACAGTAGTAGTATTTTAACAAGAATCTGAAGAACAAATATGCATGCATATTTACTGGGCAATTTAAAATATGGGATATATCAATACTGGATATACAATAACATTTAATTATTATTACTACTACAGTAGTAGTATTTTAACAAGAATCTGAAGAACAAATATGCAATGCATATTTACTGGGCAATTCAAAGTATGGGATATATCAATACTGGGTTCTATGTATCTTGACCTATTTGCAATTCACTTCTGTATTGACCTACGCAATGGTTTGTGAATCAAATATTTCCATTTGTTTTCTTCCATCTGTGCATAACATCGATAACCCGACAAAAAGTTCAAGGTACGAGAGACATTTTTGTTCAAAGGCGTTTTGCTTCATGCACTATATCATCACTAAATACACAGTTTTTACGAGAACGTTGAGTTCTGGGATGAGGTGAATAGTAATTTGTGAGCGTTATCATTGTTATTATGCAGGTGTGGAAGAACAATGGATAAAAAATGTTTCCTGAAAAGCATGGCTCTTCAAATGCCTTAATATTCTAAATATGGGATGTATCGGCATACAAAGTGGGTCGGTGCTATATGCCACATGCTTGTGTAGTCCCATATACATCTTTCTGTGTACAGTGCTTTTAACTTTACCAAGACTGGGCCAAATTTCTTATCATTTTGATGATTCCAGAACCTTGCAGTACACACCAATACTTATATGCTAGATGATCCACCTTTTCTGATCGATTCCACAACGTTTCTTTCACAATGCAATCGCATGACCAGAACTCAACTTCATCTTTAATTAATATAAAATGTTTGCCATTGTTAGGCCAGGGACCTGTTTCACAAAGCCTTTT